GGGGGGGATGAATACCGGTCGAATTTTATGACGGTCGATTTTGTTGTCGCGGGGGCAACGTCTCCGACGTGTAGGCGATTCGGTGAATGTATGAGAAAGGAAATTTTATACGGAAAATTTGCGAGCCTAGAGAGAGACTTGCTTTGTTCGGAAGAATTTTGGGGGAGATAAAACAGGAACGAACACGTTTAGCAGTTGCGACGCGTCGTCTTCGAACATTGCTTTAAAAAATTCTTTCTATATTTTGTGTATTTAACGTACATTATCTGTCATTATTCGTACGCACATTACGTTCCAAATCTTCGTAATTATCACGCAGTGTTAATTTTAAAATTTCCTGATTAATAAAACATGCGGGTAATTTCAGTTCGATTTCTTGAATTAAATATAAAGCACACTTGTTAACATTATCGGATAAAGATTCTAATTGTTTTAAATGCGCATCGACGCACTTTACAATGCTTCGCAGCCCGAGGAAGATGGTTTTCTGCATTACAACTGCCGCTACGTAGGTTCTCCATTTCTTCACCGGAGGAGATGAATCGAGCGCGTCCTCTTTTTTTCGAAGATTTCCGTTGGAATTTTCCTCTTCTTCTTTATACGCTAGCAATATTGATTTTGACCCGTAAGATGTGATAAAGCTGATAGTGATATTTTTTATAACAACAAAGTTAGGTTTCACTCTGTTATCGTTGCTTAAATATTCGTTCATGAGTTCCATGTTATCTTGAAACTGTTGCCAGCAGTCGGCGTCAAAATAAATTCCGTCTGCGTCATGCCCGCTCAATTTTACAACAAGTTTGAAGATTTCTTCGTTCGTTTTTTGCAATCCTACGTGAATCGTCTTCGTATGAGAATTGTTAAGACCATGCGATGCTGCTAACAACATATGAAATAGAGCGTTTCTTTTCTCGTCGATGTCGTTACGTAACTTGTAAGAATCGGGGATGGAGTACATGCTCATGTCCGAATTATTAGTATTTTTTGGACTGGCCATTGTTCTTACGTCATAGTAATATCAAATTCAGCAAACTAAGATGGCGAATAAAAAAAAACACAAGAAGCACAGTACTTGTTTGCTCGCGAGGCTGAAGCTACGAGACTCGAATGAAACGGATTTTCGTTAGTACCGTCGACGTCATCACCCTCTTAGACGCTGCGTAATAAAATTATTCTGCGCGCGCAGATGAAAAAAATAAAAACAAATTTTCTTTAAATTTTTCTTAAAAATTTAAAATAATCTTTACCCCGTAGAAGTCAGGAGAGGGGGTGAGAACAAGATAAATTGAGAACGAACAGGAATGAACAGGCGCGAAACGAAAGGTTTTACGATTCCTCTCCTCGTTTTCTATGTCACAATGGGGGAGAAAGGAATTTGTCCAGGTGAAAAGAATGAAAATTTTTCGCTATAAAGGAAAAAAGAATTGAGAGGTTTAGGATTGTGGAATAGTTTCTAACGAATAAGATTTAGTACAACAATAACCGAGTTTCTTTTACAAAGACAAGAAGAAATTTATGAAACATCTTCGCTTTAAAGTAAATTTACGAATGGTTTTATTGCTTTTAGAAAATTCATTAATTTAAAGTGACAGAGGTACGACACAAAAATGTTGAATTCAATTGGAATAATGTAGGAAATTTATTCGTCTTCCTCTTTTCTGAAATTTTTGTGTATATTCGTGTGGGAAAAAATAACGTACTCGTATAGTATAATATATGGAAATTTAGAGGATACAAAAATTAAATATTAGTTATATTGATAAACGTGAGAAAAGTTTTAAACGAGGGGAGTGTTCAATGTTCACCATGATTTTTCCTCATGACGAGACCTTGAAGAAGAGAAAACAAACAAAAACCAACTGATATTGTCGATCAAGCGAGACAGAAATTTCCATTAAAATTGTATTTTTTGCTGAAAGATTTAATGTTTATCAGTCATAGACTAATATTGTGTGAGAATCCTTTCCAGTAAAAAGATACAAAAAGCAGAAAGAAAAATTTAAAACATGAGATTTGTCGTAATAATAAAAATTGTAAAGCGAGGCAAAACTTCTCTGGGTAATAATGAAAACGAGAGCTAAAGGTTTTATTAGGCTTTAAAAGCAAAGGGGGGCCGATGCTTTTCGTGATAATTTGTATGGGATCAGAAAAGGTGTTAGATTGGTTATAGGGATGGTCACTTAAAAGTTTTTGTCATCCCCGCTTCTCTAAATTTTATGAGAAAATCACTTCTAGTAAAGGAGGCGGTCGATTACCAAAATCGTCAAAAATCTATCGG